ACCTTGTCGATATTTAATAGCAACTTGAATTAGTATTATTTTGCTTACATTGTTGGGGTATTTCTGTTTTGTCGTTTGCTTATACAATTTAAATTAACATCAATTTACTTAGCTTTAGAATAAACATAAACTTCACTTATATGAGAAGATTATCTAGGGTAAATTAAACTTCATTCTTCATATGGGATTATCTTTTTAGTGTACATTTAAGACATTGATAAGTAAGCTGCTTTTTTTAGGAATCCACTGAGCAATCTGGTGTCGGAAGCCTTGTTATCTACCGCCATGGATTCCAAACTGGGGCTGGCAGTGGCGCTACTCTCGGTCCATTGCTTCTTACTACTACTCCAACTGCAGCAGCAACTCAGACCGTGACTCGGGTGCCTGCGCTAAATGATTTCGTTTTCCTTAAGGTGTTAGGCAAAGGCAGCTTCGGCAAAGTTATGCTGGCTGAACACCGTGAATGTGGTGAGGTATATGCAGTCAAGGTACTAAAGAAGGAGGTTATTCTGCAGGACGAGGACGTCGAGTGTACTTTAGCAGAGCGCCGCATTCTGGTCCTGGCCGCGCAGCATCCCTTTCTCACAGCACTATACTGCTCCTTTCAGACTGAAGTACGTAAATTGAGCCGAATTGATAACTGATAATACGAATTTGGATAGATATGAATTTATATTTGAGCATTTATATTTATGCTTACACTAATAGAGTGTATTTTGACTGATATCCCGTGATACCTAAAATCTTTCTTATTGCGTTTTTACATTGTTATATTAGCCTATTATTCTTTGAAATTATTACATCACTGACTCTATCCCATTACACTTTGTTTAGTCTTTCTATCTTGAAATCTACGTTATGTTACGCTCGTCTCATTTTGTATTATATGTTGGGGTCACTGTCATTTCGTATGAAAGTGCACGAAGAAGGGATTTGTAAGTAGATCTCACCAGAAAAGAACGACTCAATCCCGTTGTACTGCATACGTTTGGCTTTTATACGGCGTTCAGGTTGACGTAGTCCACAAGACCTTTCCTCTCGTTTCGGGTGAAAACGGGCTGAGCTTTCGTTCATCATATGACGGACATTATCAAAGCTGGTTCTCATTCTTATCAAAGTCTCACGTTAACACTAGGGCAAGAAGACTATCCGATTCTATCTTGCCTCTTATATAGACTCAATTAAGCAAAAGAAAATAAAAATACCTAGGTATATATAGAATGGTTTGTCTTTCATACTGGTACTGCTACTTTTGCTCTAGTGTGTGTGTTAACGTCCATACAAAATACTGTTCCTAATTCAGACTGATCACAAGCTCTGACCAGCAAGCCTTGGGTCATTAAGCCTTGATTAATAGAGCCTGAGATTAACCTTTTAATAGTCTGAATTAGGACCGGTTTAGCGTATAGACGTTAACACACACTCGAGCAAAAGTAGCAGGACAAGTATGAAAGATAATTAGAAAAACCATTTCATATCTATCTAGGTTTTTTTATTTTCTTTTGCTTAATTGAGCCTATATAAGATGTAAGATAGGGCCATATAGTCCTTCTGCCCTAGTGTTAACATGAGACTTTTACAAGAATAAGATCCAGCTCTGATGATAGACGAAAGCCCACCCCGTTTTCACCCGAAACGAAGCTCTCGTTGACTGCGTCAACTTGAACGTTGTATAAAAGTCAAACGACTGCAGTACAATGGGATTCATCCGTCCTCTTGTGGTGAGATCGACCTACTATTCTTTTTTTCGTATTATATTATTCTTTTGGCATGAATTCATTTCTTACCGTTTACTATACATCAAGGCTATTTTGATTCCTAGTTTTCCCTAAACCTAATGTGGGAAATGCGACAGACCTCACAATTTACTGGTAGTCTCTAAATGCTACTTATATATGAAAAATAAGTAGCGTAGTTTATTTTTATCGAAAAAATACGTTTGCTTCATCGACAATTCAATCAAAGAATATGATATGGGAAAAGGCATGGCCTTTCTTGAAATTCATTTCGGCTCTGTAGCACTCGTGGCAATGTTGTTGAATGGTTAACGTGTCAAGCTCACATGCTGCACTGTCACAGTTTGACTCCCGCTGTTGGTATTGATAAGACTAATGCGAGGTCGAAACTGCAATCAACTCTGGATGAGAACAACTTTTGGGAAAGCAAGGCTATATAAAATTCAATGGAAACATCAGCTCTACTCATATCGTAATGGAAAAATTTTATCACCAGTTCTTCATCACCTTCAAGGAAATATGGGGAATACATCTCATAAACTTCACAATTGTCTGTATGGCCAATTCTTATTATATAAACTATAGTAGTAACTAAAGGTTGTTTGGCCTTGTTTTTGCAACTTGGTCATATTGGTAGGAAGACTTAGAGCAACGCACCTAGTCCGGAGTTTATTGTATGCATGATCATTTCCAAAGTCGGACCGTGGACGTGGTACATCCCCAGACTTATGTATCATTCCATAAATGACAAAATTGAGCAAGGGTGACTAAGCCATTATTTAAATATATCTGATCGTCTCGAAGCATACATAGGGAAGCTAACTAGTATGCTAGATTGCAATAGCAAACACATTTGCTAAACCAACAATAGGAAGAGTTTCGATTAATCTCTTAAGATAGCATTGCTGTGGAGACTTTCATTTTGTAGGGAAGTGCATAAAGAAGAGATTCGATGGTCTATTTCATCAAAGGCGACAACTGATTCCCGTTGATCTACAGCCGTTTGGCTTAAAACGACATTAGTGCGCTTACTTGCATTTCGAGTGAGTGTTTGGTGAAGAGATTTGAAGGTCGATACCACTAGAAGACAATTGCGGATTCCTCTTGATCAACTGTCGATTGACTTTATTGGAACATTCTTGTTGAGGCTTTTTCCGAGGAAATCTCCCTCGATTCCCGTCAATACGTGCTAAGCCTTCGTCCGTCGTATGACCAACATCACCAAAACATGATATCACCCTTACAACCAAATTCAAGCTAACAAGTCAAGAAAACTCGCTGGCTCCTCCCTAAAAAGCTGTATATATATATATACTCTATATC